GCAACGCTAGCGTTGATAACAACATCCCGCAGCGGAACACGCATTCGGCGGTAGGGAGCAACGAAAACTGAGCGGACAAATAGCGCGTTGACTACGTCAGGACGTGTGGCCGGCCGTGCGCCAGAGTGCGGAGATGGCACTCGGATATCACTCCTTCCTGTTTCCTTGCACTTTTTCCAGAGAAAGTGGCACGCTACTGCAGCTGCGAGCTCATTTCCTCATAAAGGTAAGGAGGGGATTCGCGAAGGTGAATGCGTGGCTTGTCTTTGGGCGAGTCTTCCATGCCTCTGATCGGCTAACTGTAAGCCGACTTCTCTGTTACTGAAAAGGAATCTGGGTTTTCGTTGCAAGCCTAAACACCATCGTTTGGTCCTTGAAAGTCAACGTACATGCCGTATCTCACTAGAAAGTCTAATACGATTCCGAATGAACGTGGGATGAACGGCGCGTCCTAAATAGCAACTTAAAGGCACGGTCGCGAGGAGGTTATTTAGGGGTGTTGAAATAAGAAAGACAACCTGTCAAGTGACTCATCTGAAAGGAGAAACCTCGGAAAGGCCTTTAATAGGACCACTCCACTCTCAGACAACTGTAGGGTAAAAGGCCGAAAGACAGCATGTTGAATATCATCCAGTCACCTCATCCTTCTTAATAGGCCCTATGACTCCGCAAGAGACTATGGAGGGTCTCCCTTTCATGTTACTTGTGCGGCAGCATAGCTTTTGGCTGAAGGCGGCCTTTGAAGGCGGGTCTGGAGGCGGAGTCACTGGAAGAAAGGGAGGTGTCACTGAGGCAACTTTGCGTCATAACTCCTTTACCTTACAACTTTCCGCCGCAAAACTGGCACAAGGTTGTCAACCGCGGACCGCGCTAACCTCCCACACAACCTTTTGCATTTTCATAGGTCATCACGGACCGTTCCTTTAACCAAGTGGAAAGCTATAACCTTTGCTGGTGCTAATTTCAAGGTGTTTGTCAGATATTCAGCAAATTTTGTCGCCAATTTTTCCGCAACCGCTACTATGGATTTACGGCTTTTCTCTCGTTGCACGAACTTATTTGCTGATCTTCTTCGGATAGCGCTCTCGTCGCGTACCGTGCGCACTAGCGCTGCCCGGTACTATTCAAACAAGTGAACGAGCGGTCAGTCTCACGTCAACGACGATGACCATCTGGTCGCCAGTTCTCCTGCTCCTAGCCCTAAGGGCTTCTGTTACTTCTGCTGTTAACACGGGCTTATCGCCTCATCTACAACCTATCAGTTATGATCTGACGGTGAAAATACCAGATCCTCTGGTTTCCGAGGGCTTCAGCGCCTCTCTTGTTATGCACTTTGAACTCACCGCCACATCGTCGAACGTCACTCTTCATGCTAAGAATCTTCATTCATTGAGCAAAGTGTCCATGGTTTCTGCCAACAGCTCCTATGAGCCGGTCCTTATAAGGACCTTGCTTCTTCAAGAGACTGTCGAATTCACCTTCCTACAGCCATTGCCCACCGGGCAGTACTTGCTCACTATTGGCGAGTACAACGGCCATTTCACCGATGGCTCTACAGGAGTGATTCAACGGGATCAGAAACTCTTCAGCACTCATCTTCAACCGAATTTTGCCCGACAACTGATGCCATGCGTTGATCATCCATCGGTGAAAGCTGTCTTCAGAATTGCTGTCATCCATAAAACTGGTACACAAGCTCAGTCAAACACGATTGCTACAGATGTGACTGTGGTGAATTCCACATGGCAGAAGACAGTCTTCGCTCCAACACCATCACTTCCAGCTTATTTGGTCACTTTTTCGGTCATGCCACCCCACTACCAAGAGGTCAGCACGATTTTTATTGAAAAGTTGGTGCTGTTCGGCTTGGAGGGGGCATTTTTGCGCTTTTGCTAGTTCCTTCTGTTCGTGTTATATAACAAGTTTCACTTTCTTTTGTGGAGCAGCGAAATGATGCAAGTGAGCAACAGGTCTTCACAAGATCTTTTGTAAAGGCTTTGGTGAGTACCATTCAGTACCCACACCAAGCCGAACAGCACTGAAAAACGTTCTATTTGGTTTAGACTATTCGTGAAAGTGCAAAACGTGCCGCACATTCGTGTTTCGTGAATTTGTTTCTTCTATAGTCTCCTTTCAACATATCAATTCCTGCTAGCCCCTCCCAAATACACATGATAATTTTTAAATTTTTGTCGACTACCCTTATTTTACTTTATTGTAACATTCGTATTTAAAGCAAGGCTTCACTTTCTTGGCAGAAAGGGTCAACCGCTGCCTGCTACTTCACATGATATACAAACAAAAGGGGACCGTGTGAAACTCAATCTTGAGCTTACAAGGGTGTCAACAGGGGCCACCCTTGTAGAGGACACGTCATACGTAAGAGATCCGTAGTCGTATTTGGTCACTGGAAGGAGGGAGTTCTCACTGTTTCTGGGAAGAAAATTGTTCTGTTGTTGACTTTTCTCGGATTTTCCAGTTTCAAGTGCGCCATAGACTCCTCTTCCCCTCTTCTTCCCTCGCTCGGAGGCAGTTTTTTGAGGCGGAAGTGGAGAATTTTCCGACAAAAAAGCTACGGAAAACTAGGATGACGCTGGAAAAGTTTAGGAATATTGTAGACAGGAGAAAGTTGATACGGAAGGGGGTCATACAATGAGAGGGAACTTTGAGGGAGGGGATGGGTCTGCGTTGTCTTTCATACGAAATCGTAGTGTCACCATGAATGCTACCTGGCCTATCCAATGAATTGTGAGGACCACTTATGGTTAGTGTAAAACCCAGTGTTTTTATGTTTTCAGACAGGCCTGGTAACAACCGACCCCATGGGGCTTCATTGACTTAGGCGGAAATTACTCGCAGAGCTGCAGCATTAAAGGCACAGTTCGCGACCGCAAATTGCGGGAAACGGAACTCAAATAGGCACAAAAAAGTGCTAAGTATCTGATTAGCGGAGAAAAGCAGCAGAAAAAGCAGTCCGAAATGTTATAGAGAAAGATAACATAGTGGCTACTAGCTAGTAGCTAGCAGCCGGTGAGGGTCGGCATGGGCCTAAGGGGTGTCCATGGGCCTAATTAGTCAGCTTCTAGCGGAGTTCTTGCCGTTTTTCACATTTTGAAAGTAGCGCAGCCTCAAAAATCGCCTTCCGGATCGTCCGACACATTTGAGAGGTCATAGCCTTATTTTATCGCGGAATGTGCCTTTAATTGGGCGAGCTTCTCCAGTTCCCACTACACCACCCTCATCCTGGTTTTCACCAAGCCCCGCATACCATCGTTTTTTCCTTGGTGGTACTGCCTGTGACATTTTTGGTTCTTTATTGGGATAAGTCGAGTTGGCTTGCCACTTTGCAAGGACTTCTGTTTGACTTCGATGAGTACTGTTCATCCTTCAGTGCCCTATGTAGAACTTTCGCTCTACACGCCCACTTCTTTTCCTCTCTGGTCAGGAGTTACCACTTCCAACTCCCGGGCTGTAGACTACATGGGAGATGATGGAGCGTGTCTGTGTCGACGCCGCCAGATCTGTGCTCCGCCAATTGCTGTCTCCGATAAAGGAGACCAACTGCTGGAAAACGTCTGATACGAACGATATGGTAGTCTGTCGCTTGTCGAAAAAAACAGGTTGGCTCAGCGCCAAGCGCGATCGCGGACACGCCCCATCATCCGCAGCGAATCAGAGTATGCGTTTACTGTTTAGTCATCAACGGACTTACGAGATGATGTCGACTCATTTAAATTCCAGTTATTTCGCATTTTTATGGCTGAAAGTTTTGTCCTTTTTTTCAAATATCCGAGTTCTCTACAAAGTAAGCTTCGCTGTACCGGACTCAGCACATTGACACCTTTGCGCTGCTCGATACTGGCTACCGCACTCATTACGACCCCCCCCCTCTCCTGGCGGCCAAATACGACCCCCCCATGGGGATTCCCCAACCAATGATGTGCCCTGGCTGAGTAGCTGGGAATATATAGTGCACATGAAACGGAAAAAATCGAGAGAAGTCAAACACCAGAAAGCCAATATTCTTGTGGCTTGGGGAAAAATTGATGATGGAAATCTCCCATCAATGTTGAGCAATGCCGGCGCTGTTCGGCGACGGGGGGGGGGGGCATTTTGCACTTCTGCAGCTTCACTGCTAACCTTATTTACTTTATTTGTAACATTCGCATTCAAGCAAGGCTTCTCTTTCTTGGCAGAAAGGGTCAACCGCTGCCTGCTACTTCACATGATATACAAACAAAAGCGGACCGTGTGAAACTCAATCTTGAGCTTACAAGGGTGTCAACAGGGGCCACCCTTGTAGAGGACAAGTCATACGTAAAAGATCCGTAGCCAGAGATCCGTAGTCGTACTTGGTCACTGGAAGGAGGGAGTTCTCACCGTTTCTGGGAAGAAAAGGTGTTCTGTTGACTTTTCTCGGTTTTTCCTGTTTCAAGTGGCGGCCATAGACTCCTTATCCCTCTTTTTCCCTCGCTCGGAGGCAGTTTTTTGAGGCGGAAGTGGAGAATTTTCCGACAAAAAAGCTACGGAAAACTAGGATGACGCTGGAAAAGTTTAGGAATATTATAGATAGGAGAAGTGATACGGAAGGGGGTCATACAAAGAAAGGGGGACTTGAGGAGGGAATGGGTCTGCGTTGTCTTTCACAAACAAAGTGTCACCATCGAATACTACTTGGCCTATCCAATGAATCTATGAGGACCCATTTAATAGGTCAGCGAAAAAAAAAAAAAAAAAAAAAAAAAAAAAAAAAAAAAAAAAAAAAAAAAAAAAAAAAAAAAAAAAAAAAAAAACCAGTGTTTTTATGTTTTCAGACAGGCCTGGTAAGGACCGACCCCATGGGGCTTCATTGACTTAGGCGGAAAACTCGTAGACTGCAGACCGTAAACGTGGGCGAGCTTCTCCAGTTCCCACTACACCACCCTCATCCTGGTTTTCACCGAGCACCGCATACCATCGTTTTTTCCTTGGTGGTACTGCCTGTCAAATTCTGGTTCTTTCTTGGGATAAGTCGAGCTGGATTGCCACTTTGCAAGGACTTCTGTTTGACTTCGATGAGTACTGTTCAGGGTCCTATGTAGAACTTTCGCTCTTCACGCCCACTTCTTTTCCTCTCTGGTCAGGAGTTACCAGTTCCAACTACCGCAGCTTGAGGTAGCTCGGGAATATTAGCCGAATACGAAAGGAAAAAAAAACGCGAGAGAAGTAAACACCAGAAATAATCATCCTTGTGGCCTGGGAAAAATTGATGATTTGGACATCCCAATCTGAGGACAATGCCGGCGCTGGTTCGTGACAGGGGGGGGGGGGGGCCGGGAAGTAGGGAGGGGGGCATTTTGGCACACCTACACTACTTCCTGTTAACGTCTCACTCCGGTGAAACTTGTGAACTCTTGTGCAGCTGGAGCAGCCACCATGTAAAACCTGTCAACTCTCGTGAGGCTCTCTCGACGGCTCGAAACGTCGATGAGAAGTGGCGAAAGTGCAAAATGCTCCTACCCCCCCCCTCCCCGTCGCGGAACTGTGGCACGCTGTAGTCAGCTCATGCCGTTACTGCGCCTTAGCATTCTGCGCATCAGATTTTTGCTCCAGGACCATGGTAGATAACTTAGGTAGTCAAGTAACCTTGACTGTTTGGCATTTCTTGTCAGCGTTGCATTCGAACTTTCGTTGCAGAGCAGTCAAACGCTGTGTCGAAATGCAGTTTCGGTCAAAGGGTCTTCCTCTGGGAGAGCTCTCCCGATTTCCAAGGCTATGTCTACCTCAGTTCGAGCCGTTACACTTTCCTGTAACTGTTATTTCCAGTAACATTTTGAGTTCCATTTCTAACCCACTGCACTTGCATATGTGCTTTAATTAAGTATTACAATGGAGGAGTAGTACCTCCCAGAAATGGTATAGCGCCTCGATGAGAGAAAAGGCATGTCAGTGCAAAACCCCCCCCCTATCCCCAAAAATTCCTACTGGTGGCGATTCCTCTTGCACATTCTTCGCTTTCGATCCTATTTAATTTGCTAAATTTCTAACTTTTTTCAAAAAACTCTTCCAGTTTTCCTCAAACTACTTGCTGCTCAACACGAGGTCGCCACCAATACAACTACGCAAACTACCCACGGTGAAACCCCACACTTCCTCTCACCCCTATGTTGCCAGCGGCGCTAGAACTACTATAAAACTCACTGATTGCAAAGTGTTGAAAGCTTGCGAAAAACTTAGGGAGATGGCAGGTAGGCCGAGGATACGGGAAGGAGGCCTTTACAGATGAGGAAAATTCGGGTGGGGCGTTACGCCGGCCATTCCTTATACCACGATGCTATGTCCTACGTAGAAAGTTTCGATGCGTTAACTTGGCAGTGAGCGTCCGAAGTGGGTAAGCTGAAGGGGGGGGGGGAGGAATTCAGGAAGATCTCACGCCACCATCACAGCCACTCTGCTCCTCAAATGGACGAATTCAAGTAATCGGTTCAAACGCAGTTTAGAAGCGTCTGGTGCCTTTGATGAACTATCGCATACTGTAAACTTTATTAAAGTAAAGAAATCTTGCAAAAATGTACTGGCCCTTGCTTACTCAATCGTTAACAACAGCCTGTTCGCTAAACATCCGCGCCACGATACGGTAGCAACTTTCATCGTGACGCAAATCTACACAAAAACAGAACAGTAGTTGTTATTATTTTTGAAACAAGAGAGACTGCATGTGATTGCCCTATCAAATCATGCAAATCATCGTGGAGGGCGTCTAGGCCACCCGGAGCACTGAGAGTGATGTCATTCGTCCTTGCCCGTTTAGACTCATGCAAAAGTCCTCGTCCTCGTTCTGGTATCCC